GACTTTCCTCTACTGCAACACGCCGTAAGCATGGATTGCTTTAACAAGGGGGGGAGGAGGGGAGGGGGGGGAGCGCGGACGCAGCCCCCCTCATTGCAAACAAAATGATCCACACAACCACCCCCTACTCCAAAATTCTGCAAACATGGTGATGACATGACTTTCTTTACCAATGTCGTTGAAAAACGGAGGGGTTGGGGTGGCGCACGCCCCAGGCACTCGCTGCAGAGCGCTGTGGCCAGCGGGGCTGCAGTCAGCGGCACTGATCACAGCGCTGTGTGAAACACGTGCCTGTGGCGATTTTTTAGTTCACACTAAAAACCCCCGCATCTCATGCCTGGGCCTGTGTGAGGGAAATAGTCCTGTCTGGCTATGGTTCATGTACTTCGGCCCGCGGGGTGGGGGAAGGGCGAGACGAGCACCGAGCCATGCCTATGCCGGCACTGGTGTTGTGCAACTTTTAGGGGAAGAGGCGCATCATCAGTACCACACGGAGAGCTTCTTGGCGGATGGGCGCTAGATGCCAACCACCGACAAAAGTGAGGAGACTGAATGCCAAGATCAACCTTGAAGGGACCAGGAATTGCCACAGATCGCCGCACCATGCACGAGCGCAAACCAATTTTCGGCAACGTTGCTGCCTTTGAGATGTTGTGCTTAAGATTGTTTAAGTAAATATGTTTCCACGCGAGAGTCAAGACTCTCCACGCGAGACCTCGATTTCGAGGCAAAATGTGAGGACGCTCGGCGTAAGAGATCGATTTCAAGCAAGCTTGGGAAGATGTTCCATTTGAGAGCTCGATTTCGGAGCAATATGTGTGGACGTTCCAAGCGGGAGCTCCATCTGAAAGCAAAATGCGAGAACGCTCCAGGCTCCAGGCAGGAGTTAGTGTTTGGACGTACGAAGTAAGACCTGGATAACAGGACAACATGTAGCTTTTTGTTCAACCTAGCAACGATCTTCCAAGCAGTCTGTTTCGTCTTTGCTCAACCAATCTAGCCACGATCTCCCAAGCAGGCTGCTTCGCTTTCAGAATGAAAGCGGTGGGTTTGGGGGCAGCCGCCCGCATTTGCAAACAAAATGTTCCGCATAAGCTTGTCCTACTGCATACATGGCCATGATATGGCTGTTTTTCTGTAAGCATGGATGGCTTTCCGCTAGTAGCAGCTTTGCTGAGAATGCTTACTCGGTTGCATCACAATAGGATTCTGAATAAGAAAACTACCACTTCCACTCAGCAGGTTCGGCAAGCAAAAGTAGGACACGAAACCTACCCTGTGTGGGGGGCCTCGGTGCACCCACCCTCCCCGCTAGCAGCAGCTTTGCTACGAGTGCTTAGGTTGGTGGCATCTGAGATGGTATTTTGAATACGAGAAATTCAAGTCCTCATGAAAGGTAGAGCCCCCAAGAAACAAAAAAGTAGCAAACAAGACGCAGAAAGCAAAAAGCAAAGAAAAAAGTAGAAAGCAGAAAGCACAAAAAAAAAAAAAGAAGCAAAAGGCAGAATGCAGGAACCAAAAACCAGCAATCATAACCAGCAAGAGGAGCAAGAAGCAGAAAACAAGAGGCAGGACCTCAAAAACAAAAACATCCCCAAGAAAAGCAAAAACAATTCCTTAAAAAAACACAAGCCCTCTTCTTTTAGATCTTGACACAAGTTTCAGCCCAGCGAGAGCTCTGGTTGACAAACACCGGAACTCAAGGTGCCTCATGCACAGACACACAGACCGCGAAGAGAATTATGTGCCAGTTACAACATGCGCCAATGTGGTCCCAAAACATCCACAGCAAAGCGCCTCTGTGCAAGAATCGGCTTGCTGATGCAAGCATGTGCGAGTGTGGCACTGCACAGTTGCCATGCGGCCACCCTGAGCTCTTGGCCAAGATGGACAGAGGCCAAAAATGGATGTGCATTTGCTCGACCGGGCAGTTGCCCGGAAAGATCCTGACATTTACGGCTTGAGCCGTAGCTTCTGCGCTCCTCAAGCAACAAACAACTGAGAAAGCCGGAAGCTGGTCCAAAAATGCATGGACGTTCTTTTTTTCCAGGGTAAAGGCCGCAAGTCTGTACAAAGGGCACAGAGACAATGCATGTCAACATGTCCAGACGCCCAGCTAACAGTTGACAAAGGCTCGCAGGCAGCAGATTTGCTGCTGAGCGCGCCAGCCACGCTAGTCTAGGTGTCTCCAAATCTCTTCATGGCAGCTTCTGCCTGTAGTTGTCTTCTGTGAGAGCCCACGCATTCAGACGAACAGTACGAGAAGCTGAGCCTCGTGAACGGCTTGGATACCAACGGCTTGCTGCAGAAGTCACATTTTGCTTGAGCTGCTTCCAATAGTTGCCTTTCCTCTTCTTCCTTACGCTGTCTCTCCTCCTCCTCTTCCTTTGCTTTCACTTTGCTTGCCTTTTGCTTCTCCTTCTGTCGTTTCTTCTTTTCCTTTTCCTTGTCCTTCTTCTTTTGTTCCGTCTCGTCCGTGATCCCCTCGGGTACCTGCGCAGATGCCCAATCCCATGCGTCTTCGTTGCTGCCTCGCCACTTGCGGAATGCTTCTCGGGCCTGCCAACTTGTGCAAAGGTAGTAGGGAACTCGGCCCTTGCTGTCCCGTGCTGTGGGGTCGGCTCCCTGGTCCATCTGCTGGAAAATAGTGTCGACATCATTGGCTTTAGCCGCCGCGTGTAAAGTGGAAAAAAGGGAGTCCTCCTCTTCAGAATATTTCACTACGACTTCATCGACCGGTGCAGCTTTGGATGCACCGGGTTCAACAGGCGTAGGACCATCCACCTTTGGCAGGGGCGCTTCGGAAGCAGGTGCTGGTCTGAAGCGTGCGGTGACTGCGTCTGCCACACTCTCCTCACAGAAGACAACGCTAGCAGCTCGAAGATATGCTGCCTGAACAGCTTCAAATGTTGGCTTGCCAATCATGAAGGGCAGCCTTCGAACTCTGCGAGGATCAGGCAGGAAAGGTTCCTTTTCGGTGCCAACCAGCGTTGGCCTCATCCGCTTTGAGACAGATATGAGAATCAGCTCACATTCTGCCAGGTGCGGTGCCCATTTGTCAGTCATTAACTCCTTGATCTCTTCAGCAAGGCGTTGTTCTCCGTAGCGACGCAGCGACGAGCCAACACTCTTTACTTTCTTGCCCCCGTCACATGCACTCTGCGAACCCCCGGCTTTGGCACGGACCGTATACCTGTGAATTGCTTTGTGGATTACCGCCTCCTGTCCATTGAAAACTGCTCCAGCAAAGTGGCCACTCCGAAGGGCGCACACGGCCCACCTGGGCGCACGAGTCCGCAAAATCTCTGCCAAGCGTTTGTCCAAGGACAAGTCACTGCCCGCAGCAAGCGTTTCAGGCGCAATCAAAGCTGCACACACGCCCAAACCATAGGTCACGGGCGCGTCTGTGCCAGATTGCAGGCGGCGTAACAGTATCAGCGCTCCTTCTACCGCACCCCGTGCCCATGCTCTGTTTTCCACGCCTAAATGTCCTTCCCAAGCTACCTCGCTTTCTTCACTCTCGCTTGCAAGCTCCTGCTCATCGCCTGCTTGGTTTTGCAATTCCTGCGCTGCCCCCTCAGCTCCCTCCTCCATTGGAGGCTCTGAAGCTAAAGACGCTCTGCCAGGCGGAACAAAACTTGCTGAAGACCTGGATGGCTCGATTGCGCGTAGCTCTTCAGGAAGCCAGCGGGAGGTGAAGTCCCACAGCGGCACGGAGTATGTGCCTGTCGCTCTGTTAAAGTGCCTGCTACGGCAAAACACAGGGAGACCATTTGGAGTATCCACTCCTGACTTGCGTTCTCGTCGCCTGGAGGGCTTCACCTCCTCCACATCGTTTGCGACATTGCAAGCTGAATCCATTCTGCTTGGAAAACTTAGCCAGCTCTTTAGGGGTACAGCTTCTGCGCTTGCAAGAACAAGGTATGAATTATGGTATGAACTATGCATGTGTTGGGACCGCCAAAGCAATCATGCAATACCTGTTCCTGCCCAGCCGAGCGTGGTCATGACCGACAGAAGGGAGACCGGATGTCACATCAAATCAGCCAGCGAAGTCATGCAGGCAAGCGAAAAGAGTGCAGAAGGTTGCTGAAGTTTTCTCAGCGCAGTGCCAGTTTTCGGCATGAAAGCAATCACAGACCGCAACCAAACTGCACAACAGGAAGTGTGGGGTTGGCAGACGCAAGCCTCAACCACGCTTCCCCTTCTTGCGCCCTTTCAAGCTGCCCTGCAATGGGCAACGTGCATCATGCGCATCACACAAAGCGACACGATGACATGAACGTTTTCCAAGCAGCCCTATGTTCCAGTGGAACCATACCTGACTAATGTTCACTGTCCTGTGCCAGTCAACATTGCACTTGCTCAGGGAGAACATTCGGAACTTCCAGGCCTGGGATGGGGAATCTGGCTTTGAATGAACCTCGTTTTGCGAGCCATACAAACAGTGGAAAGAATTTGAATGAACTGGGAGAAGCGCGGGCCCAAAAGATTCCTTTGGCTCGTTGGGCGGCTCATTGTCGGCTTCAGCGGCTTCGATCTGCCCTGCTGGAAAGGCAAGGAGGTGAACGGGGAGGTGAGTGAGGAAAGCTCTCTCAAACATACAGCAAAAACTGTGCTGTCCTTCCCCATCCCCCAGTCCTCTTGGTACGACTTCAGCCTTGGAAGCACTCCTGCATATCTGGTACACAGGTGAGCAAGTGCTACTCTGCCTGTGACAGACTAGCACTTCAATTTTGCACCATGAGGTCGGGGCATCTTTCGAACTAAAACTGTAAGACTATCACAGAATGCATGCGCGCGAACATTTTCAATGTTCAAGCAGCGCTTAGCTGCACATTGGCTGCACATGTTGAGGTGACCCAGGACTTGGTCAGCGCCAGAACACTGCAGGCTGAAGATCATCGCTGAGACACAATCCGCCGCGGCGTCCACGCGCCTTTTCGAATTGTTAATTTTGTCAGTTGCTTGATTTCATCAAGTTGCGGGCCTTTGCAGCGTCACGGCTCCCAGCTGCGCCTTCGAGCATTGGTCCTGCAGGGTGCGCTAAAACTTGCTAAGAGCATGGCAGAACATGGTCTGATGCCGCAGCCGTAGCATGCGATTTCAACTATGCACGCGGCAACAGAAAATTACCAAGCTTCACGGCTGACCAACAAATCCAGCACAGATGCTGCTGAAATTCGATTTGTGAACACAAGTCTGGAGCAAGGGCTCACGGCTTGCTTCTCTAGCAAAAGTTGTCTGTGCCTGGACCTGGTATGACAGCATCTCCAGTTGCTAGTTGCTGCACATGCGACACACATGGCACACAAATGGCAGCTTTCTGCTAGTGTCATGCGCTCAACATTTTCTCCAAGTATGTCCTGGTAGACTGCAACCTGGAACGAGCCCTTGGGTCAGGAATACTGCCAGGTGCGTTTGCAACGAAGAACCTCAAGTTTATTCTGAACAAGGTTCTTTCCACACAGATGGCCTTGGTACTGCTGCAGCTCGGAGAAGAGAGCCTGCGGTATAGAGAAACATCCCGAAGGAAGACCCCTTCCTGCGACACAGAAAGCACAGACGCAGCTCCTCTGACGCGTCTTGCCTTAGACGCCATCTTGTTAAGAATCCACGCGGCAGGCCACTGCAAATTGTGATAGGTCTTCACTCGGCCACTAGCGAAGGACAACGCCACCGAAATTACGGTGACCAGAAAGGTTGGCGAAAACTGCGGGAGGTGGATTCTTTTGCAGACTCTGCTAGGAAGCTCCTATTTTGTCAGAAATCCTGATATGGAGCGCCCTGGAAGCCTGTACTACTTCATTGACGTCTGCCAAAAGGAAGACATCCATGATTTCTAAATTCCAAATCAGAACTCAAGATGAGAACTATGAACAAACAGCATCCAACAGCCACATGTGTTGACAGTTTCCAGGCTGTTCGCAATCTGGACCTGGATCCAGTACGACTGGGCGCTAATCTCTTCATGGCAAGTATAATTGCCTGTTGAGATTTCTGGAGAACGGGTAGCATGGGAGTTGGCAGACAATCATTCTTGTAGATCCAGCTTTGTGAGAAGCTGCATCTCGACCCTGGCTCCCCGCCCTTCGCTTCATACTGCTCACCAGCTTTTTGCACAGATCGACACTTTTGAGAAAGCCACCTCCCAGCAGGTCCGACAACCCGCACTGCAAGCCGTCTACAAGAGCCTCTCCACAAAAAGATGCAACAAACCCTGAGCCAACTTCTTCGGGACAGTTGGGAGCATGTGAGGTCTTACACCACAACGTAAACTTGTTTTATTGATCATCCGCTGACCTCGGGCGTGCGCAGGCCAAAAGAGATAGAAACCTTGGTCCCTCTTTACGCGGATTGTAACAAGACAGTGCACGCAGTCTTGACCCGCACGGGCTGAGCCCAGGCTCTTCAACAAAGGCCATGGCAATTCTACTCAGATCGCAGAATCGACGCAGGCTGCAAGATCTCACTGCAGAAACTTGCTCTGCACGAGGCTGGGAGCCACCCAAATCTGGCGAGAGCTAAAAACATCTAAAAACATAGGCTTGTCAGGGTGCAAGCACGCGTCCAGGGACCCTTACACTCAAAGGGATTGACACAAGAGCACGAACAGGAGGACTCAACATTGGCAGGCCCGCACCCGGCAAGGGTTGGCAGTCTGAATGCCTCGAGGGTCAGCAGCAGAAGCCGGAGGCTTTCAATCCAGACCCCAAACAGGACCTCAATGCTGATGTTCTAGCTGTTTTGGATGGTATTTTCAAAAGCTTTTAGGTGCTCCTGTCCCTAACTTTACCCCAAATGGGTGCTGTAGGGCTTTATGGTCTTCTTTTTCACAAGCACTAGCCAAAACGGGGTCCCGATTGCGCTGATGGTGCTGGCGCACCGGCGCAGGCTCCCAGTTGTGCTGATAATGTTCCTGTACGAGGCGCGCGCGAGCGCCCCGTACAGGAACATGCATCATCAGCACAATTCGGATGCCATTTTGACTTGATTGAGACCAGGAGGGATCCAAAACCCAAGAAAAGCCATCAAGAATGGCTTGGAACGTGGTTCTCTGGCTGACCATGCTTAGCCCACAAGCCGCACCCCCTACCCGGCCTGGCCGTCATGGTCCAGTGCGAATGCACTTTAAGCTATGCTTATGCGCTATGATTACACGGCGTGACGCCCCTGCCACCGCCCCCCTTTCTTGGAAGCCCTGGAGGCATGTTTGGGGATAGAGATCGGGCAACGCCCCCGGGTTCTAGTCGCAGGCCATGGCCCTGGCTTTGCCATGGAGCGAACGCCTCTGCCCCGACCTACGCATTTGAAAACTAGCCCCCGGGGCCCATCTGGGCCTGAACACCATTTTTGGCAGGTCGGAGGGGGTACCGGAAGACTCCAGATTGGAGAAACGAGCCCCCTATGATGCTGATGATGCCTTCCCACTTGGCCTGCATCATCAGCATCATTGGGGGCTCGTTTCTCCATGAAGGGGTGGCCTTGCCTGCGTTGCCCGCTCCTGGCTGCAGCCCCTTCAAGAAGCATGGCTTGGCGTGCATCCGCACTGGACCATGACGGCCAAGCCGGATAGGGGGTGCGGCACAGTCGACGACCCCTGTTAGCAAATGGGTCTTGCGGGGTCAAAACTCACGTCGCTTTTGGCCACCACACCTTATTCTGGTTTTAGATGGGTGCTGGGTTCTCCTATGCGCGGCATCAAGAGGGAAATGGGAAAAAGCTTTGCGTGCATTGTTCAGGCCAAACCGTCTAAATTGCCCTTTTTGCATAGGTTTCTGCGCGGTTTTGCCCATATCCAGCCCCCTACCTTGGCCATGGGTGGCTTTAGGCGGCTTGCCTTTGGCGTTTAGGTGCGTTTTGTTTTGCGTCTCCGTCCCCGCTTGGAAGAACCCCTACTTACAGTACTATTTCTCGACTTGGACGGGCCACGCCACGCCACAACACTTTGGGTTTAATCTTTTCAAACTCCACAGCGGGTGAAAAGCGGGAGCTTAAGGGGATTTGAGCGGGGAGCCCCCTTGGGAGTTGAGGGTTTTGCGTGGGTAGGCTCTGGAACTCATATCTCTGAAAGCTGGAACTGAGGGGATTTGAGGGGGTAGGGGGCGGAGTTGGGATCCCCTTGCGAGTGCTTTTCGAATAGCATATCCTGGTTCTTGTGCCGCTCGAATGCTAGGATTTTGCACCACTTTCTCTTGTCAAATATGTAAAAATGTCGACTCTTAAATGCAAGAAATTGCATGGGTCCCAAGCATGGTCAGCCAGCGCAAAGAACATTGTTCAAAGCGCTTTTTGGTGGTCTCTCTCAGGTCTTTGACTCCTCTTGGTCCCAACTAAGCCAACATGAGTTCCAAATTGTGCGGATGCTGCTGGCAGGGGTGCGCGCGCGCGTGCCCCTTACAGGAGCGTCATCAGCACAATTATTGAGAAATCATGCTGGGCCGTTGTCAGTTAAACTTCCAAACCGAAATCCATCCCAAATAGCAGGAACATCATTTTTGCATACACTTTCTCCGATCAGGAGCATCAGCAGGTGTGGGGGTGGGCTGGTTTTCACACTATGGCTGTGCGGCGGGGAGGCAGTGGCCAGGCTCGCCAGGCCCGAAATCTAATTACGTTGAAACCTCTCAAATTGTGCGTGATAGATTCAAGCTTGAAGTGTTATACCGGCAACACGGGCGCAACACGGGCTGGCTGTTGCTGGCGTCGGATTGGGCCTGCTGCATAGGAGCAATGACATGGTAGCGCAAACAGGACAGAGTCTTATCATCCCGCACAGCCCAAGTTACAAAACAACGTGGATTCAGCGCTACCAAACTGACGGCAAATCACGCCATCAAAGACTGCCAACAAGATCTACCGAGGACTGGGCCTGTCGATCTCACAGCAGGGCCTCTCTGCCTTGCGGACATTGCCTCCCTTGAAACCTTTGCTATGCCATCTCTAGAAAAAGAGGCTGACACGTATGGCAGGCCTGCGCAACCTCGAGGCTGTGATCCTGGTAAAGGCATCTGGTCTCCCTTACATGACCACACATCAACAATCCTCCCCAAGACGGGCTTCCGTGAAGTCACCATGCGTTGGAGGTGTTGAATCCACCGGCTGCCTCAGAAAACAAATGATGCTGAAAAGGGATGGCCATGGCCAGGAATCCGGCAAAGGAGCCTTGGAGCATGTGGAGCATATGAGCGATGCGGGGGATGTAAAGCCACGACAGTCGGCTCCTTTCTCTTGAAGCTGTCGCAGAACTTCTGTGTCTGTGCCTTCATTGGCCTGCGGTGCTCGAGTGGTGGAACCCAACAAACCGAGCGAAAGCGTCCAGCATTGCTTTGATGCTCGTGTTCAATTCGCACGGTTGCCCAAATTGCACGACGGATGAGTTCCTCCGCTTCGCAGAAGACAGCACCCAAGGCTCCAACACATCCAGAGGTGCAGCCAAGGCTCCAGCGAGCTGATCATGAATGCGAAGCATTCACGATTGAACGTGGAAGCACCAACGAATGCTCGGCAATCCGGCTGGTAGGTCCTCAGCATGCCATGCGTTAGCACCAAATCAAATGACCCACTTCACCTGCAAGGTGCTTGCTTCAGAAAGCTGGTGAGTGCTGCCATAGGTCAGCAGCCACGTACTCCGCAAAGCAACATCCAACCCAGCCAGAACAGCGTACATGTAGCGAGGATATAAGCATCGTCGGTGTTGAACCATCAGACCAAAATCTACAATGAGGTCCCAGGTGGCAGCATAAGAAGTTGCGGCTAGGTAACCTGCACTGGCTCAAACACTTCTGTTTGTGAGGCATGGAACCATGGAGCGTGGCAGTGGGTAGGGGATCACAACGCAATGTTCCGGATGAAAAAGAGAAAATCGCTTCGAGCATGCCTGTCCGTAACAACTACCAGCCCCATTGAGAGCGGGCAACCACAGAAAGGAGCATGTGTGAAAACGATGAGGAACAACATTGCAGGATGAGACGATTGCATTGGTGTTAACTACAGAATGCAGCATGTGAACGGCACCCGATTTGCTCACAGCTTTTGCGGTGTGTCAACAGCTGGGCGATCAGAATTCGTAGCTCCACGACTGAGGATACTTCAAAATGCAGCGTGCAGCCACGGATGGTACAAAATCAGCATCTGTTGTGACTGGAGCTTTGGAGGGGACAGAGGTCACTTGCAACTTCTTCAGAGCAAGGTTGCCGGCGACTTCTCCTCATGGTGACTTGCAACGATGGTTTGGGCTTCCATATTTGCAAATAATGGACAGGAGATGGTTTGGGCCTCCATGATTTCAGATAATTGATAGGGAATAGTTTGGGCCTCCAGTACTTTTGAATACTGGATAGGACATGGTTTGGGCTTACATGATTTTAGATAATGGAGAGCAAATTATTTCGGCATTCATTATTTCTTGGCATGCATCCTGAACAGTTTTGGGCTCATGCTGAGGGCGGCCGATCAACGCTGTGTGGAACCTTGCATCCATCCGCGCTTGGCTGCCGGGTTTGCCTCGAAATTCCCTGGAAGCTTCTCTTTCAATAATTGGAGCCCTTTGGAGAAGCATGGCTACTTCGGCCAGCCCTGGCGTGGGTTACCTCCATTGGCACGTTTCAGCAGGTCATGAACGGCCAAACTGTCACCAATAGTGCCGCGAAACTTTTTGGTGTAGCCGTGTGGGGTTTATCAGCACTACATTTAAAAACAAGGGATGTTTCGAATGCTCTAGTAGTACGTTTACACTTGGGGATTGGGCATCTGACAATGGAAGTTGGAGCAAGTGATCGGCAAACGAAGGGGTTCTTGCCATCTTCGAGGCGTAGCACGAGCATTTGAGGTCCTGGGACAAACGATGGACCCTTTTTTGTAGAGCTTGGGGCTTCGAGCGTTGGGCCAACATCTAGGCCTTAAGGGTTTAGGGCTAGGGTTGAGGGTTTCAGAGTTTGGCTGGTGTGGGGGCTTAGCAGAATCCTTTTTGAGTTTCTGAAGCGCTTCAAGCGGCAGAGGCGTGGATTGACTTCTTTCGGCGGCTTCTTCTTTGTTCTTTATATGGATTGCTGACTTCTCAGCCTTTGTCGTTGCGAAATGTAGAACTGTCAAACAATCATTCTAATCTAGACTAGTTCTATGAGCAATAGGAAGGAAGGACTAGGGTCAGAGGAGAAAGACGAGGCCAACATGTTAGAAAGATTCGGATGGCTGAAGAACCATCACCATAAGATCTTCTTGGGAAAAGACAAGCTTCTTTCGTAGTCTACCGTGGGATGCTGAACTGGGTGCCGAACTCACAACTCTCACAAAGTTGAACTGCAGCGGTGTCAGCCCCAGCGGGAGAATGTGCACAGCAGCAAGGAGACTGACAATGATTGCCAAGAAGTATTTGCCGCAATTAAGCAAATGTCTAGCTGTGTCGCCCGTGTCTCGCATCCTTCGCAAGCACTGCGCAATCCGAAAGAGGAGTGGAAGCACCAGGATGAGTTGAAGCATGGCCCATGCGAGACCCTTGTCTTGCTTGCACTGCACCCGAATGTCACGAGCATTGAATGCTCGCCAATTCCTGAAATAGCATATGGTGTAGGCTGCATCCTTCAAAGGTCGGCCCAGTGATGTCAGGAAATCAGCAAAGATGTTCTCAGCGAAGCTGACTTCTCCGAGCAGGGAGAAGCAAAACACGCGCATTATCAGTCTCGAGAAAAGGTGCCGAGCGCCCTTTGACACCCACCGGGAAGTAATTGCAAACTGTAGGATGAGCACGCTGATAGAATAGATGTGGGCCAAAGACCAGCCGAATTTGTGAATTGCAGGGTGAATGTTGAACAGTACTGCGCCAAACTTCATGTCAGCAAGAAAACAGAATGTTAAAACTATCCAAACCCCCGTCTGTGCTGAAGCATAGTTCAGCAAGGACATAGCTGAAACGTCAAGGTCTGGGGAGATGTCCAACAGAAACATGTAATTGATTCTGTACCGCTCAAACACACTCGCGCATCCACCAGCCAGCCAAGCAGTCAAGTTCATCATGAAGGATAAGCGCAGCACCGGAATAGTAGCCTCGGCGGCGGCAAAATTGCGCAGTAAAATTGCTGGGGCCTGTGAAGTGATGAGAGTCTTGTGGCATCAATTTCCACGCTACAAGCTTGACATTCAGGCTACTAAATTACTAAGCTCAGGCACTGCCAAGTCCTCAACAGAGAAGTGATTGATCTGAGGCTCCATTCCCGAAAGGACAGCCAGGACTATGAGCGCCATGGAAATGACTCCCAACGAAAACGAAATTCGTGCTAAGGCCCACAAGTTTTCCGTTGCAGATTTATCATGTGGAGAGCTCAACTGCAGATCACCATCCACGCCAAGCTTGTCTGCAAATTCTCGAAGTTGGAACTGCAGGCTCTCCAACCGAGCTTTGCCTGGATCGTTGAAAGGCTCTGTCACCACTTGCTGCAGAACAGAAGGCAGGGTGCAAAGCCCGGTCCTCTACTGTTCCTGGAACACTTGTGGCATCACTGGTTTGAGGCTTTCATAGGTTTCCCGCTTCTGTAAAATTTATGAGCAAAGCTCCATGGTTTTGCCTAGGCTCTGCTTGTCATGCTTCTTCAGGATCTTATACACAGCAGTATAGTTTGCAGCTGCAAAATGGCTCAGATCAAGAAGGGTGCTCTGTAGCTGCTGCGTCATGCTCTGTAGGTGAACTCGAAGTTGCGGCTCGTGGTCACTTCCGTGGGCCTGTTGGAGCTCGTCCCGTCCAGCGCTGAGCCGGGCCTCCGCTTCATCAGCGACTGAAGTGAAGAAATCGTTGACGCGATCGATGGAAGTGCGGAGTTCTGTCAGCCAACCTGCGCTTACCTCGCAGCGCTCGCACTCCAGTCCTTCACGCGGGGAACCTCCTTCACTGGAAGAGGCTCCATCCCTCATAGCAGCTTGACGCTTCCACGCCCCGTAATAGTCCTTAAGTGAACGCTTCAGCCCACCGTAGTCCACGTAGAAAGCCTCCCATCCGTTAACCTTATGCCTCTCCAGTTGCTTTCCAAACTTCATTCCCGCAGCTGCAGCATAGATGCATTCAAACTAAACCAACTTGAGCATAAGAATGCCAACAGACGCCGCATGCGCAAGCAGGCAACGCAAGCAGCCACAGACAACTCGGCAAAAGTCTGGATGCATACTAATAACATGAACAGCCTTCCTGTGTCTTCAGGTCCTCTTTCTCTTTCGGGGAGATTTGCTTGCCTTCTCCACATCCTCACACTTCTGGAACCTGACCAGCGACGGGGGAAACCTCCCAAACTGATTTTTTGCTAGAAGCATTGAGGCCCGGCTCAGGATACAACTTCAGCAGTCTAGACAAGCTGACTGCACCGCATCATTCGTTGAGGCTTTGTGAAGCTACTTCGTGCGCTTTAGCTTGCCAAGGCATTGCATGATCAGCATTTTGGCTTCACCGCTTCCAGCCTATTTCCAACCGACAGTTTATCCTATGCTCGCCCTTGCTCCTTCCAGCACACAAGGAGTCGAAAGCTTTCTTGCAGGCGCTTCCAACACAGCGCGAGGACTTCACATGTGCGTCTGTGTTTTTGTGCTACTGTACCTCGGGAAACTGAGAAGAATAGTCAGATGGAGGATGGCACGGGTGTGCACCTTTGCTGCGTTGCTAAGAACGACAGCTTGCCTTTTGAATCACGTCCCGTCTCATGATAGCATGAGACTTGCCCGTCGAACTTCCCCCACAAGCTCACCTGTGCACCCTGTGGCTCAGCAAACCTATGACCAGCCCAAGAGGCTAACCCAAGGCCAAAGCCTGAAGTCTGGACTTCTCTTTTATCTCCCAGCATGCCAAACATGAAGCTTACGAAGACCTTCGGCTTCTTGACAAGCTCCGAACCCTACCTCTCAGCCCATTGCTGGCAAAGAAACATCAATGCATTGCGTTGCTCTATTAAGCTTGCATGCAAGCATGCAGGATGCAGGATGCACATGTTAAACCACTATTCGATCCGGCTCTGCTGTAGGAGCCAAGGAACTGGACGCCCAACTCCACTTCGTTCTCATCCGCTTTAGATGCTTTAGGGTCTTCACGTAGTGTCCAGGGAAGTGTGCGCTTTTGAAAGCAGCCTGCAACGTGACATCGCGACACACAAAACACGTGTTGCGTCCGGGATTACAACAGTCGGGCAACGCACACCATCTTGACGATTGGCTTTCCAAACCATTCTCGCAGCTTGTTGCTGTTCCGGTGGCTCCAATCGCACCTGTCGAAGCAAGGCAGTGAAAGAGCTGCATGACCGCGGTGCATCCTTGCCCTGGGCCTGCAAGATGGTACCGCTGCTGACGAACCATTCAGCAGGCAGCGACTGCCCTGCTTGACTGTGAAACCAACACACACGCCACAGGTTTTCACTAGTTGAGGCTGCAGCTCATTTCCCTGAAAAGCTGCTTCTTTGATCGCTCATCTGTTTGACTCGTCATCTGCAGAAATGTCTGGTAGTAGCTATGCATCTTCTCCTCACATGCAGCGAATGAACAAGCCTCACGCTCACGCAGTGAATGGAGCGCGCATCCTTGAGCTCTAGCCAGCTCCATGTGCTCTCTCGATTGGCCCACAAGAACTCCTCCACTGTCATGACCCTTCCACAAGCAGATAGTCATGGGTCTCCAGCCAGGTCCTGAGCAACAAACTTCCAACTTCGCCAGCGACTTCGCCGCTGTGGGTCGGGATCTCCGAGATCCTGATGTGCACAGGCTGACTTCTTGAAACCCAAACCCACGCCACTAAACTTCTACGCAAGAGTTTGGTGCTACTAGCGGTAAAACTTAAACCGCTTTTTTTGGACAATCTCAGCCTTCCTACAGGCCCCAAGCGCCCACTCTCTGCAGCGTGTGTTTGAAGGTCATGCTTGGTGCTAGGTTTGCATGCGTTGCGCGCAGAAGAGCTTTATGCCTCTAGCTGCAGCGTGCTAGCAAGGCGCAATTTCCAGACGGCGGTGGCATGTCTCTGTGTGGTTTTGCGGGCGGTGTCATTTAGCAGGGTTTAATTGCACTTCAATCAAATGCTGCATCAGTAAGTTGCGTGTTGTTCTTCTTCTCCTCACTGCTCTACCCCTCCACAGGGGAGGGGCCGGGGCAATGCCCCAAGCAGGAATGCAGTCCGCAGGCGACCACTGTGACAGGTCCCGTTTACTGAGCATATGTAGGCACACAAGATTGGAAGCTAGGTTATACTGCCTGGATCGTATACCTAATCACTGAGCAGTTTCCCTTGCGACCTGCATATGGGCTTCACTGCTTCTGCCCCCAGCTGTGACACCTTTCCCTCACTCTGGTGGTCAGGGCTCTACACAATCAACAGGACCCTGCGGCAAATTAGGCTAAGTTCTTAGGACAGTGAAATATACTCAGTACCCTGAACGCCAACGCCCGCAAGGTACAGAGGATCAGTCATGCTGAGGCTCTCCCAATCCCTGCTTTACTGGCAGAAACTTTGGAAATCCCAGGGTACATGAGTACAACAACTCGACACACCAATACGGCAATACAGTATATACCAGCTACCTACCTTCCTCCGCCGCCAGGGATATGCATACCTCTACTGACAGATGGCGCCTCTTCAAGGCAAAATTCCTGTTGTTATTCCAGGACCCTCCAACACTCACAACTAACAACACATTGTCTCTCCCTGGAGTGTGGGTTCATGTCGGTGGAGATTTTGTACTTTTAAGACTTGCGTCGTCACTTGACATTCCCCCGCGAAATTGCCAATCAACAGACCGGACGCGAGGTCATGCTCTGGCCCTGCCTCGGCCGATTGTGGGGTTTGTGCAATCTGGTAGTCCAGGACGCACCCCAACAAGCGACAATCAAAGGCGCCGAGAAGACGTGCCCATCACAGCCTCAAATTTCCCATCCACATCATTTCTTCACTTTCGCGAACACATTGGCACGGTGCCGTAGAAAAAGCTGCTTAGTGAGAAGGCAGCCACAACAGATCTGAACAAAAAAACGATGGCCAACGCTTTCAGCTGGCAGAAATTCTTTGTGCGCGCGTACGGAACAGGCGATCAGTGGATCTCTGTCTCCATTTCGTGCGCCGGCTTTCCTACAGGGTGAGGCCCACGCTTTATTTGATGCATGCATTTTGGGCAGCTGATGGTAGCTGGTCACTTTGTATTGCTGCGCGATTCCTGCGTGTGACGCAGCAGACGTGCGTGGCAGGCGGACAAAGCCGCGAAGCAGAAGTTTCGGGTCGTGCAACGCAGGCGCAAAGTTTAATAACGCCTTGTCTTCGCCACCGCTTCCGTAAGACCAAAGATCCTCCGTTGGTGACGATGGGAGTGACAGTGGCATTACGGAACATGTAACTTTGGTTGCTGGGCGGCCTGTTCGTGATCCAGGGCATCTGCATGTTTTGCACGCTGTGGTAATGTATGTCGGAGCTTTTTTTGGTGCCACCTTTAGGTGGGTAAGCTAGGAATGCTGGGACATTGTGCTGAGTGCAGCTCCCCATGCAACGCTGGCAGCAGACAAGCGCAGGCGTCCACACTAGTCGTGCCTTGCTAGTGAAGCCCAGCTGCTCGCTGCCAGACAAATGTTCCTTGCTGCGCTGGACAATTTGCAGGCCTTGCTCAGGGTCCAACGCTTTTGCGTTCGCCGCCGCCTTGTACACACACAATTCGAGGCCTATGGTATGCTGGCTGCGGCAATCCTGCAGAAACCTTCCACGTGTCACCGGGCAGTAGCCGAGGTATGGGCAGCAACGGCAGAAGCAACGGCTTGATGTACCGGTGGCAGTTATGAAGCAGCTGCCGGCACCAAACAAGACTTCAAACGCGGCACAGCTTAAGCGTGTCCCCAATGCAGGTGTCTTGAGGTCACCCTTCGCTTCTCGCTCAAAGGCATCATACCGAGCAAAGCTGTGGCGCGTCAGAGGGTCCTGGCAGGTCAGCTTGGAGATGTCAGCCGGGTTGGCGGTAACAACCTTGCATTCGCTCACGCTTACCGTTTGCCATGTCGCACGCACAACTTTCATGCTGGCTTAGATGCCTCAGTCAGCAATTTCAGAAGCTTCTCCTTTGAAGCTACAGGGCTTGGACTGAACAGCTCTGCTCAACGCAAGCAGGCAGATTGCGGGACACTTCACAAGATGTGCTCTCATCTCCGCACACTTGGAGGTCCTCGGTAGAGCGTTGCTGCTGGCGTTGCTCATCTGCAGCAGCTGCCTCTTTGCGCCATTTGTAATTTGTACGCGCTGCTTGCCTTTCACTGCCTCTTGTCTGGCTGCAAGAACAGATTGCCACAACCTCACATGCTCCATGTTGCGAGACACAATTTGCATGAGCTTCTGGAATGCCATCTGGGCCACATTTCCAGATCATCCGGGCCCTGCCAAAAGCAATTGGCAGCACTCAGCCAAGCTGCGGCCGAGCTTGCTGGACAGATCTGCCTGCAGGCAGTCTCCTAAATGCTCCTTCACAAACTTTCGGAACGCCTTCTCTGTCTCTGGCGCCTTAGAACGGCCGGATGATATGCAACACAAGCTTTAGCCAATGGAGATCGTCATCCTTAACGGGATAGCATGTGCAGGTGACCTTTCCGTGCCCTGCAGCCCTGCACCTGCTCGAACTCGAAAAGGCGATGTATGAGCGACTTGGCATGCTGGTTCGCAGCCGTCCGTTTTGCCGCGCGGACGATGTCGTGCCAGGCCTCATTCGCTGCAAAGTATTCTGCAGCGGGTCGTAAAACGGGCGGTGTTGCTTGTCAGTCACTCACTCTGCCAATAGGGGTTTGATCTCTATGAGGTTTAGCTTTTTCAGAAGTCCCATCCCTTTGCCCACTACCTGACGAAAAACTATCTAGCAATCTAGCACTTATTGAGAAGCACTTTGCCCCGGGCCTGCTTGTCCACAATGACTCTATGGTCTGCGCACCAACGAAGCCACTTGGACCAGTAAGGATCCTGAAAGCTATGGGCCAAAGTTTGAAGCCTTTCCGCTTGAAGCCAGCATGCTGTCAGTCATGGGCACATGCTAAAGGGAATAATTTGGGAAATGTTGTTGTTTGTGTTTTGGATTCTTGGGGCGGGGGCGGGGGCGGGGTGGGGCTGTGCCTGCAGTTTCCAGCGTTAAAGCTTTCCTTGAGCCGTGAATTTGATGGTAATTTCCAGCGTTCCTCGTTTTCATGATGAGAAAGCATGAAAACTCATGAAAACTGATGAAAGATGGTGCAAATAACCAATTGTTGCAAAAGTGATGAAAAATTACGAAAGCTTACGAAACATGATGAGAAGCGATGAAAATGAAACCTGAGAAAAACAAAAAATGATTGAAAACAAATGAAGATGTAGGAAAAAGTCAATATGTTTGGAAAATATGAACATGATAAATGATAAAATATTACGCAAAATGATCAAAAATGAGGGAACATGATGGAAATTCAAACAAATTATGAAACCGATGAAGTGCTGAAAGACAACTGGTTAAAACTGATGAAGCTGATGAAAAAGCATGGAAACCGCTGAAAGAATGGAAGATTAGGAATATCCCGAAAAATAAAATGATGAACAACAACAACATGTAAAATCATTACATGATCTAAAACGATGAACAATAGCAAGCATGGATGGCCTGAAACAAGCGGGGATTTAGGGGGACGCGCCCCCCCCCATTTGCAAACAAGATTACCTGCATTACGAGTGACGAAAATGATCGGAACGCATGAAATGCACGAAAAATGCATACATAATGAAAATTGATTAAAGCATGATCAAGAAACTGACCTGAACTGATGAGAAATGATGAGAGATGATGAAAATTGCTGAAGATATGCAGGAAAAAACCCTAAAAACCCTAAACCGTAAAACCTTGAAAAATCTCTAAAAAATGCAAACCATAGAACCACCTAAACCCTAAACACCTTAAACCCTGAAAACCCTAAACCCTAAAACGGTAAACCCTAAAAACCCTAAACCGTAATGCCCTGAAAACCCCTTAAAACATTAGAACCACAGAACCACCTAAACCCTAAAAACCTTAAACCTAAAAACCCTTAAACCCTAAAAAAACACCTAAACCCCAAAAGCCAAAAACCCTAAAAGCCCTAAACCGTCAAACCGTCAAAAACTCCCTTAAAAACCAGAACAAACATCACACCACCAAAACCCTAAAACCCCTAAACCTCAAAACCCTAAATCCCAAAAACCCTAAACCCCAAAAACCACCCAAACCCTACAAACCCTAAACCCTAAAAAACCCTAAACCCTAAAACCCTAAACACCCAAAACCCTAAACCCTAAAACCATAAACCCTAAAACCCTGATGCGCGCCTCAAAACT